TCTTCCAAAGCCAAAGTGTGGACAGTTTGCATTGGGGCCCAGGGCCTTGGAGCTAGTGATCAGGTCTTGAAGACACAAGAAGGACATGGAGTCTGTGCCTAACCCTGTTATGAGTCTGTAAGAACAAACAAGTCCAGGAATATTAAGAGGAAATATTAAGTGACACACAAAATGAAACTAAAAAGTATGAAGCAATGTATGCAGTGGTGATAAGAAGTTTGAGTTGAGTGAACAAGTGTGATGTAACTATATGATAAGCAGACATGCATGTTAATCTAGAAGTAAGGAGGTAAGGCAGCTAGAAACAGTATAAAAACTTGAGGCCCACGGCCAGAAGACATTCTCAAAATGACTTGCTAGACATGCTGTCAGAAGCAGTCATAGAGAATCCAACGAACCAGCAACTTGACAGCTGAGACCTTCCAAGAGTCAGAGAACTAGCTCTTGCCTGCGGATCAAGACTTGCTGATCCAGAGGTCTACGTTGAGAGCCACGAACCATCATCAGGTCGTATACACCAATGCCTCAGTAAAATAGGGTAGAAGGCCTTGCCTAAGGCATAGGAATGCTTGCTGATTGAAGTGGAATGTGTGATATGCTTGATTGGCTAATGATTGTTATAGTTTTGATGTTTGATTATATCTACTATAGTAACAATTGGAGATTTGACTATTGGCATAATAAACTTGTTCCTAGAACAAAAGACTGTGGTCATCCTGAGTATTTGCTTGCAGACCTCGAAGTAAGGGCAGAATGCCCACTCAGGAGTAGAGCTCGCGACAAACCCTTCCTGAGAGCCCTAGGCAGTGGATGGATACTGTTCTAATTGGGCCACTGCGTACATTTGTGACCCACAGTCTTGAGAACTGAAAGTCTGAGGTCAAGGTGACCAGAGCTGGATCCTTCGTGGCCTGTCTGTGGCCTAGGACAGCCTCCTTCCTGTGGCTTCCCCTTGTCCCTCTGTGTCTTTGCGGGTCTCAGTCTGGCAGAGCCCTGCTTCTCCTTGGGTCCCCCTGATGAGCTCCTACAGCTTGACTGCTTCAGGAAGCCTCATCTCCCTCCACCAACTGAGGCCCGGGGGATGGGAAGTGCAGGTCCTTCCATAGCGGGAAAAATACGGACTGCTGGTGAGTCTGAAAACTCATTCAGTACTCTGCCTTTCTAGACATGGGCAAGGCTGGCTGAGCAGAAATGCTTCAGAAAGGCATCTTACAGGGTGGGCCTGCTCCCTTGCATTAGCCCTGCAGTAATCCCCCAGTCTCTCGTCTACATGGGCAGCTGTTGCCTCAAGTGCCGGACCACGGAGGGGTTGTCCTGCTGGCCTTTGGCTCTACCTCCCCTGGGCAGGTGTCTGTCAGGCAGCCGCTGAGCCAGAATGTGGGAATGGATGACCATGAAGTGTGCCTTACCTGATAACAGCAGGCTGTTATCATATGACCTGATCATATGGCTCTCACCAGGTCCACAATGCCAGGGTGCCTGCTTCTCGGTGCTTCCCAGACGGTCACTTCTGTCTTGAGTCTGCTCTAAGGTGTTACCTCATTCTGGGCACCAAGTCTATGAGAATGAGAATGACAGAGATAGGCTCCTGGGGCTCCACATTCTTCTCTAGGGCCCTTGTTCATGCTTTTCCAGCTTAGACAGGCAAGGGACAATGGGCTTCTCCAGAAACATAGAAAAGCTTGTTTTAGCAAAAACACCTCCAGTAACCCCATTCTTAGGGCAGCCCTGATAGCAAGGGTGGTGTGGGTCACCCACGCTGGTCGGTCTTGGTGACGGGTCGTAGGAAGCCCCATGGATGATTAGGTCTGCAGACACTGTTGGCATGCTCTCCCGAAAGTGAGGACCAGCCAGGTGGCTCTGCCCTGGGAGGATGATTGCCGTAGCCACAGCCTGAGAAGGTCATCTCTTACCTGCGGTGTCTTGTCTCAGTGCTCAACCTCAGAGGCAGCTGTGCCAACCCAGCTGGATGCAAAGCTCTAAGCCAGCAGACAGACTTGCTCCGGCCGGGCACAGCTCTTGCCTGATGGATCCCCGGGAAGAATGAGAGTGTCTTCTCTGCCCTGGACTTCTCTCTTCCACACAATGAGTACATGTTCCTGGAGTTGAAGGAAAAGTTCAGTAACTACTTCTCAAAGGTCTGGAAGGTGGAGGCGCGCAAAGTAAGGAAGGATGGAGGAAAGAGCCAGGGCCATCACGTGGCCGGTGACTAGGAGGGTTCTCTTGCATTTGGTCACTGCCAGGGTCACTTGTTTGTTCAGAGTTGTCCTCTTGTCTGCTTGCACTGTCTCAAGTCCTGCCACTTACGTCCTCGGAGTTGAGGGTGGGTGGATCGCCAGTCCCATGCCCTCACTGTGATGCCTGTAGCTGCCCTTGAGAACATCCCATTTGGGTTTATTTTCCCTTTAAAGAAAAATAAGATAAAACAATACAATTAACGATCACAACCACTAGGTCTTGGGCATGAGGTGTCCCAGGCAGGCCTGGGGAAGCTCCCCCGTTGGGCATGCCGCACTGTGGCTCCTTTTCAGGCTCCGGTCTTTTTCTTTGTTCTTCTGACAGAGGGGTATGATATCCAAGGCTTCCTTTATCATCTTCTTCAGAGTGCAGTTCTACGTGGAAGACGGGAGGGCGATCAGGTAACTACACTGCCGTCAAAGATACTTCCCCGGAAGGGAAATACAAGGCACAAGACAGGAAGTGTCTTCCAGTGCGCACTGCAAGAGAAAGGTCCTGTCATAAGGATGCGATCCCTTCAAAGCCAGGCAGGTGTCTCCATCTGGTGGCTGTAGCTGAGTCTCAGAGTTGAGCTTTACATGGGGGATTGTGCTTCCTGCCAGGTGTCCTCAAGTCTGCTTGGGCAGGGAGGTTCCCGGGAAGGGGGAGAGAGAACTGGAAGGTTCTTGCTTGGCAAGAGGTAGATCCGCTGCCATCAGTGGGCTGCCCCGGTGCCTGACGGGTACCATCAAAGAACTAGATTCTCTCCAAGTAGAGCTCTGGGGAGTCATCAGCAGGGCTTGGGTGTCCTTGGGATGTCCTTTGGCAAAAGCAAATCTGGTGCTGGTGCCCAGAAATGGTGAATGGGGTTGTGAAAGATTCTGGAGTCAGAAGTATGTGAATATAGAAGACTCTGTTCTGGAGCATACTAACTGAAGAAGGTTCTAAAGAGTGGGAATGTGTGGCCATGTGAAGCATTCTAGTGACATCTTAGCAGGGAAACCCAGACGGAGGCTGATACATGGTTCTCTGCACTTCAGCGGCTAGCCAGGTTGCTATATTAAAAGATGTAGGAGAATTCTCAGAAGGTTTGCACTGCTTTGGGTTAGCTGATGGTACTGGGCAGACTGGCTGACTGAGAGGCAAGTCAGTGGCATGAGTTTGCCCCTGTGCCAGAGACTCAGGAGCTCTCTCAAATGGCAACACTTGCTCCTGGATCTCAGCTGCTGGAGGGCCACACCCATAGGAAGAGACCTTGTCCTTGCCCCTGGCTTCACCCCTGTCTCACTAAAGACCCTGTAACAGGAGATGTCTCTGTGTATGAATAGAGTAGAAAGTTGCCACCAAGAGTCCTCAGAGGCCTGTGGACTAGAAAGCTAGGCCTGGGGAGGGCAGAGGGTGCAGCGCTGGCTGCAATGGGAGGATTCACTCTTCCCGCTCCTTCCGACCTGCTGACTGGCAGTGACAAGACAGCCCGACACCTGTACTACTGCCACCTGAAGGAGCAGGTCCTGAGGTCCAGGTGCATGCACAGAGAAGAGGCCTACTTTCTGCTGGCTGCCTGTGGGCTGCAGGCTGACCTGGAAAACCATCAGGAGACAGTCCATGTGGGCAAGTACTTCGAGCCCCACACCTACTTCTCTCAGTGGGTAAGGCCGTGTGGCATCCTCCTTGGGGGAGGGATTAGAGAGGGGGTAAGGGCATGGAAACAGAGGGACTCAAGTCCAAGAGGGCCCACCTACCCAGCAATGGCACTGCGAAGGTTGGCAACATGGTGTAGGAGCCGTGGTCAGGGCAGGCTATGCCTCTGGTCCTGCAGAAGTCAGCCAGCTCTCTGCGCTGCCTTAGCCTGCCCAGCCTGCGTAAGAACAAACCAACCCAAGGACCCCTCTGTGCCTCAGTTTCCTCACCTGTGTCCTAGGAGAAGGCGTGAGCAAGAGGTACCGCTCCTTTGTGTGTAAAATCCTAGCTTCACCACCAAGCTGAGCAAAAGATTCTGGGGACTCCCATTGGCCCTCCCACGCCCCTACCCCCTCTCATTTTCCATCCTCTGTGCCTTAGGCCTCACGTACCTTCCTTACAGAGCTATCTCCAGGCCAGGCAACTTTACTCAAAGCCTCCCTCAGCCCACACACCCTTCTGTCCCTCACTGAAGCTTGAGTCTTTTGGTTTCAGCCATGGCTTCCTCACTGGGGAGTTCTCCAAGAGTTGCAGCTTTTGGGGTAACTATGCCCCCACAAACCTCTAAGGAGGGCTGTTTCTGTGGTCCTTATAAGCATCTGGGTAACACAGGAGAGGGGATCAGGACCCCTGTGATTTAGGGGCATCGTATCCACACCTTCGGGTCTGGCTAAGGCAGAGGGCCCAACTCTGCTAAACACAGGCTCTGGCTGATTCCAAAGGCGAGAGGGGGTGTCAGCACAGAGAAAGGGCAGGCTGAGGTCTGAGACAGTGGCGGCTCTGTCCTCAGATTATCAACAACAGGGGACCTGACTACATCCTCAGGCATGTGCCTCGCATGCACTGTGAACAGCGGGGCGTGAGCCCCAAGGAGGCCATACTCCGCTTCGTCAGGGATACCTGCCGACTTGAGGGCATCCTTGTCCACTTCTTCAGGCTGTACAAGGTCTTCCCCATGGTGTCAGGGATGGGAGGGAACCCGGGGCAGGGGTGGGTGTATCTCCCATGGCTGATAATGTGACTAAGATTCCAGGGTACTGTAGGCAGGACTGTCCTTAGGACCTTGGATGAGTGATAAGTTGGAGGGTTACTTGGTCGCTGTTGGAGGAAGGCCGCTTGTTTGTTTCCCAGCTGCCCAGTAGCTCAGACCCGAAATAATCACACAGAAACTGTATTATTTAACTCACCTCTTGGCCCATTAGCTCTGGCCTCTTATTGGCTAACTCTTACATCTTAATTTAACCCATCTTCATTAATCTGTGCATCACCACAAGGTCATGGCCTACCAGCAAAGTTTCAGAATGTCTGTCTCTGACAGCAGCTCCATGGCTTCTCCCTGACTCCGCCCTTCTTTCTCCCAGCATTCAGTTTAGTTTTCCCCCGCCTAGCTAAGTTCTGTCCTGCTATAGGTCCAAAGCAGTTTCTTTATTCATTAATGGTAATCACAGCATACAGAGGAGACTCCCACATCAGGTAGCTGTCCGGGAGCTGGCATGCTGGCTTTCTCTGGTGTTTGACTTCTGTTAAACCCAGCTTGCTCAGCCTTCGCTATCTGGTCTGGTCTAACAGTGGGCTGGTGTGCCTGGCCACTCTGACCATCCCCTCATTCACTGCCTGAACCTAGCATAGCATCTGTTCTCTGGGGATAGGATAGCCTCCCACAGGGGGCACTAAGAATGGAATTTTGTCTATGGGGTTCACAAGATTCAAACATCTATGGAGCATACCACGCCTGTACACTGGGAGGGTTGCAGGGTGCTTGGGCTTATGTGGAGCGCCAAGAGGAGATGAAATAGAACTCCTCATTTGTGGGGTATCTAGCCTGTCAGACCTCCTTCTACCTGCCCCGCGGGGGCCAGAGCTTTAACCTCTGACCTGTATCCTTTTAGGAAAAGAAGGATGATCACCCTACCATCCTCCTGGGACTCATTCTGCAAGGAGTGCACATCTATCGGGTGAGGACTCTTCCCTGTCTCTTTTCTCCTCCATCTCCTGCTGTCCCAGTCCCCAGCCTGTGCTCTGGTTTCCACATTCCTTCTGTCTTTCAGGAGGTGGACCACACCCATGTGCCACAGCCGCTCTTCCACTTCCCCTGGTCACATATTTAGAAGGTGACATTTCTGGTGGGTGTCTGAAGCGGGAGAGGATCCACAACACTCAGGAGCCCCGAGAACAGAGAACCTGCAACTTCATTCTCAGAACAGGATGGTGATTCCTATGGCCTCTCCACACCCCCAGGCTTCACCCAGCCCTGCTGGTCCTCACAGCCATGTCTGGAGGCACAGCCACAGTGGTTATAAGCCTCTGAAATATGCATAGCTCTGGTCACCACTGAGTTCAGTTTCTGAGCTCCCACTCAGCGACGACAAGAGAGAACATGGTTCTTTAGAGTCACACTGTGCAGACTTCTGTCCTCCTTGCTTATTGCTGAAGCTGTCTCCACTGGAGAGCAGGCTGGCTCTGAACAGTGAACAGGGCTCAAGGCAAATTCTGAATTTAAGACTTGTTTACAGTCCCAGGCAGGCAGGTCCTGCAAAGGAGGTCGGCCCCAGGATCCCTCTATCTTCTCAAGGCTGGGGACAGATGGTACTGAGCCACAGTAACCACAGCCCTGTTTCCACCAGGACACCAATTCTCTAAACTGGAAGTGTCAGCCAGGGCCCAGTTGGGGCTTATGGTTGACATTAAAGTATTTCTCTCCCGGTGCTGGGACAGTTTCCTGCGCTATAAAATCATGCTGTCCTTCCTGTGTGTCCAGGGGAAGAAGCTGGAAATCCAACCAGAAGGGCTGCCCACAACACAGAAGCTGCTGTTCTACACGGACTATGCCTGGCGCTCCCGCTACCTGCTGCGACTGTTTCACGCCACACACCAGCTGCACCTCAGCTTGCGGCCTGTGCTGCAGTGTCTCCAACAGCTGGAGGAGGCAGAAGGTGCGTGTGATATCCACCTAGGTCCGGTTACCTAGCTGATGGTCACACATTCTCTCTAGGGTCTGAGATACAGCAAATCAGCCCTTGAGACCTCCCGTCCTGAGGCTGGCCAGCTGTTCTGGGCTTGGCGGCCAGGACACACCTTATATTGCACCTGTCGTTGCTGGTGGTCATCAGCTCCCATCGCCCTGCCTCAAATGTTTGGATGAAAAACAGTGATGATCTGTCTGTCACTTCACTCTGTACATGATTCTGTAGTATCTTATTCCTCACATCTTGAGCCCTACAAAGAGCCAGAGATACAACCTGAATAGAGGCCAGCCTTGGTGCTGCTCTGACTTGCTTCACACTGAAGCCCACTGCAAAGACAGGTGTGTGTGTGTGTGTGTGTGTGTGTGTGTGTGTGTGTGTGTACCTGAACATATTTGTGGGCCGTGAGTGAGTGGACCTCTGTGCCTGTGTTGGGAGTCAGGTCCTTGAAGATGCTGGGTGCATATTCCGTATCAGTGCATCCTCCGAACCAGCAGCAGTCATCTGCCTTCCACTAGTCCTGTCCTGGGTCACGGGGCACCAGGGCTGCCCAGGATGGGTCTGCCGCCAAGGGCAGGGTGTCACAGCCTCGAGAACCATCACGAGAGGATACTAGGAGGCTGCTCGTGACCAGTTCCATTCATGCCTGTCTGCTGTCACTACGGGCTTTGTGCAGGGGTCACTCCCCTTCCCCGGGGTGGGGGGCAGTGCTTTGCTCCACATCCATCAGCAGGGTGTGGGACTCTGACCAGTGTTGGCTCCAGGAATGCAGGAGGCATTTCATCTTCTAACACCAGCTTTTGCGTTGTCTTCCGCGCAGAGAAGAAGTGCTACTGGGAATCCTACATCACTGGCCCACTGGAGTTAGACCTGGACCCACGCCACAGGAATTACCTGGACAATGAAGACAACAGGGGCAGCAGACAGCGTCCCTTCCTCTTCCACGCAGCAGGCACCGACCCCAACGCCCAGCGTGGGGCGTGTGAGATGTCCGTGGATGAGCCCACGGGGACTGAGAGTCTCTGTGGGACGGCGCCATCCAGGAGTTCCTGGAGCAGCTGCAGCAGCCATGACACCTGCACCAACAGCGGAGGTGAGCTACAGAACTGGGTAGCAAAGAGCCTGAGCCGGCCATTGCTAATCTGGGTCCCCGGCTGCAGGCTAGGATGGCCACTCGGGGCTACACAGTATCACACACAAAGCCACTCAGGGTCAGGCAGATCTGTCACTAACACTGTCTCAGTCACATTCTCAGAGTCATGTCCAGGCAAAGGGCAGCTGACCTTGTCTGAAGTTACTTGAGTAGGAGCCGCTGGCTGTTTCCTAGCCCCAAAAGAGATGGGCACTGAGAAGGTGCCATCCCCAGCTCTTCAGCAACCTCTGCCTCTTCTAACCCTGACTGGAGCCACTCTGTGGAAGACATGATGTCACATGCCAGATGGAGCCCAGACACCATGGGCTCATCTGAGACTCTGTGCTCTTGTGTGTGTGAAATCACAGACAGCTTGTGTCTTTCTTACTGACGGTTCAGACAAGAAGATGGCCTCACCTCAGACAGTCCTGTGAGGAGGCGGATTTGGTTCCTACTTCTGAGTTACAGCAGGAAAGAGCCCAGGGCAGGACAGGGCACAGCAGTGAGGATGGGCGGTGTGTTCTTTTCTTGGCCCTGCTCATTTTTTTCCTCCTCATCCTCCTTCTCTTCCTCTACCTCTTTCCAGCATCTCCCCGGAGCCCCTCTCAGGCATGTGAGTCATGCTGATCAGGACACGGGGGCCAGAGAACTGAGGCCATACCCCAGGTCAGGTCTCCTCCTGGCTTCTGCTCCCTGCTCACCTAGATTTCCAAATAGTCCTCTGGGCCCTGAAGAGGCCTCTATGGACAGCCCTGGAGGTACAGTCGGGTTCTTGGGAACAGTGGATTTGACGGTGACTCTCCGCTTTGGTCTCAGAGCCTAAATGAGAAGGCTTGCTTTGTGGCACCCTCAAGCAGCAGAACGCGCACCTTTCATCAACCTCTATCTGGCAGGTTCTAAAGAGCTGTGATCAGCGCCCCTAGTCCTAAGACCCTGAGTTCCTACCACCCTAAGGCACCAGATACTAAACCAGAGGCCCTGTAGAACCTCAGCAGAGGACAATGTGGGCTCCGTGCTTCTGGACTGGCACTGAGCTGGCATGCAGGCCCCTGCCAAACATCCCCCGGGGGGGAAAGGAGATCAGGATATTGCTGACCAGCAAGTGTGTAGACACTGGACTCACACAGAGTTAGGCAGTACTAGAAACGGGGAGGAGAGAGCCTGAGAGAGCTGTCACAGCAGAGTCTAGGCTTGGGATAGAGCCAGCTTGCTTAATAGAGGAGTTTACACCCTCCCAAAGCACCCTGAGGCTCTCGGCTAGAGGGCTTTTACTCTGGAGGACCAAAGAACAAAAAACAACAAAAAACAAGGAAGCCCACTTCCAAGAGTCCTGCAGACAACAGATCCTGTGTGTAGCTCTCCCACCTCTGCATGTGGCAGGGTCCTCCAGGCAGATCCAACAGAAGCATCACTGCAGTGTGGGGGCTACTCTTAGCTGATGGGACCCACACAGTCTGTGGACAAGTGTGCTTAAGTGGAAGATGGCCATCCTTGGGATCACAGGCACTCTCGGGGATGGTGTGGTGACCATACCCAGATCAATTCCTCAAAGACATCAAGTAGTGAGACTTCAAGTTCAGAAAGCTGGGGAAGGAAGCCCAGGCATGGAGCCCCCAAGGAACTCCTAGAATACATCAGAGCAACACAAGAGCCCACAGCCCAGACTAGGCACCATTATCAGGGCGATAAAACCAGATCAGGGTTATGGAGCTGTTGCAAGCTGGGTGGTCAGAGGAAGCAGGATGAGGCAGCTTAGAGGGCACTGTTTCATAAGCCCTGAGACAGAGCACACAACAAGATGGCCTGTCAGGTCCAGGACAGATTGGCGAGGCTAGAATCAGAATGGTCTGGGAGGAGCAGGGGTCCTGGAACACAAAAGGCACCAGTCATCAGGATGAGAACTACCAACACTGCTGTATCTCTCTGTAGGCTGTGGAGGTGGGGGCTGACCCAGGGGTGACAAGGACCTGCACAGCCTGGACCATGTGTGTCTGCACCAGTCTTCCCAACACCTTCTGAGTACCTGGGGCTGTGCACTGCTGCAGCTGACGGTGCCCGGAGGCTGGGGCTCCTCTCAATGGCAAGAAGTTCCTAAACTACCTCTCGCTGAACTGGCCTGGTGAAGACTCACCCCTGCAGCAGCCTGTGGTACAGACAAGAGTTACCCAGCATTCCTGTTTGTGCCTGTCAGCCTTGAAGGTGACTTGCTGGCATCCAGCACCACCAGCCTTTGACCAGGTCTGGGCAAGGCAGTCCCTGGCCCTCAACCCTTTCTGCCCACATATCGATCACCTATTCTTTGCCTGCTCACCTGTAGGAGGATGGAGCCAGCTCTGACCTTAGCCTAGAGGTAGGGGTGGGCTCTGTTCTTCCTGTCTCTCACCAGGCCCTGGCCTAAGCATCTGAGAGAACCAGGAGTGAACATTAGCCCTGAAGCTTTTGGGCTCTAGTCTGTGCGAGGTGTCATAGCAGGACATAGGCATTAGAGGGAGCCCCAGGACTGCCAAGTCAGCCTAGGCTGGCCAGGCTTTTCCATCAGGACTCTCAGTGCTACACCAAACACAGAGGCCTCTCATACAGTGTGTGGCTCTGCAGCACCAAACACAGGGGCTTCTCTTGCAGTGTGTGGTTCCCTGCAAGAGAACCACAGAGACACAGAGACACAGAGACCCCTGCAAACAAAACACCTTCAGATGCAATGAATTCTTTTCCTGTAAGAACCCCTTACCCTCTCCTCAGGCCTCCTCCACCTGGACATGACAGTGTCACCAGGACAGTGGGGTAGGGCTATTTGGGGGTCTCCTCCACCTCCTCACCACAGCCAGAGAGGTGCAGGAGCTGGTGAGCAGGAGTAATCCATGGGCTCTGGGAAGACCCTGGAGTGTGGTGGGTTATCAATCCACAGATCCCTCAGGACTCTTCCTGCCCCAGGTCCAAAGAAGAACCTGATGCCACTTTATTTGGACAAGAGGGGACTTGTGTGTCACTGGTAGTCACAAGTTCTTGGTAGTTGTGCCCAACACTGGGCGTCCTGGTGTTAGGGCCACATCTGGGCTCCCTTCTAACCCCCACATTTGTCAGAGTGGGGCACGAGTCTGGCCGGCTGGGTAGGGCTGCACTTCTTCACCTAGGCCTCTCTTCCCTGCGCATCCTGAGCCCAGGCAGAGAGTGTGAAGCTGTGCCAACCAGCCAGGACTGCGGCTGAGGTATGACTCACACAGGGGAGCTGATTGAACTAAGGGTCCATTCCCTGATTGGTGTGATAAGAGCAGATTGGGAATTGTGGACAGGACGGGGCAGCCAAGGCTGACTCAGGCTCTCTGAAGACCAGCATACCCCATTGGCACAAAGTGGGGTTAACTAACCCTGACTGAGAGGCATACTATCTTCCATTAGAGAATCTTTGAGAACAGAAAACCCCAGTGTCAGCAGAGGTCTGTGCCAGCTGTGGGTGCTAGGCATGGGGCAGGGCTGATTTCAGGACATGCCCCCCACCCAGCCCCACAGGTACACATGCACACACACACACACACACACACACCTCATTCGGGAACAGGAATGCAGACAGACAGTGATTTCCATGACATGAAGCTATCTCAGGGAGTCAGGAATGTGTCCAGCTGCCCTGCCTTAGTGTCCCCTTACCACATATGCCCCTAGAGAGTGTCAGCCAGAGGTAGAAACTCCCCTCTCTGGTGTCCCTATCCCTCAAGCTCATATGAGGTCACTCTGATCCTCCATGTCCTTGCCTGGCCCCAGCAGATCACCTGGCCCTGGAGTTCCTAAGTGACCCCAAGGAATAAAATAGCCTGCCGTTCATTTTTATACTGTTGCTCACAGAGCTGGCTCTTGGCAGAAGTCAAATGTGGGCTGGGACTTGGAAGGGCCTGGGTCTCTGGCTTTGCCAGTGTCTTCTTTACCACCTGTGGGACCAAGGTGTTCCAGACAGAGCTTGGTATGTGCTGGATAGCATGGTTAAGAGCAGGCAGCACCGTCATGGTTGGTCCTCCTCTGGGCCTGGATGTGCCCTTCCCACCAGAGCACGGCCTGCTGGTACAGCTGCTTTTCATTATGGTTATGAATAGCACAGTAAGAGGCCAGCGGGTCTTCCGGTCCTCAGGGAGAAGGCCTCGTGCTCAGCTGTCCCCTGTGAGTCGCCTTGGCCCAGGAGCAGCGGAGGCCAGTTCAGCTCACCCTCAGTGTGTGTGCGGCAGCAGCTAGGGCTTCATGGAGGTCAGGACCCGTGCCCCGTGTCTTCACAGACAAGAAGACAAGACCATTGGCTGACCTGAGAAGTCACTTGGGGCCCACAAGGATTCCTATTTCTGTTCTTCCTCTGGGCCTGTGGACAGGCACGGGGAACTATGCCAAGTGTCTCTGACCACCAGATTGTACAGAGATGCAGACCGCGGTCGTGACCCTTGGGACACAGAGAGGACGATTAAAGGCCAGGCTCTCTCCGTGCCGCTACCCAAGAGGGTTCAATGGGGCAAGCGAGGGAAAGGCGGGGGCATAAGAAGGAGCAGAGGCAAAGTCCTCAGGCTCCTTCCTATTTCATCTGTGAGACTAGAGAAAGAAAGTCAGCACTCACAGTCCCTCTGGTCCCTGAGCAGGGGCTGGAACCTTTGACTAGTTCCCTAACGCACAGTGGCTTGCCGTAGGAGCTAGCCCTATAGCAGGGGCAGGCTCAAGGCAGAGCTAAGCATCCAGATTCGAGAGACCCTCCCAGGAGCGTGCCTGGCCAGCTCCACCCACCAGAGGTGTTTCCACAGTGCTCACAGGGACTGGAGCTCAAGAGTCTGCTGTAGGCCCTGGTGTCCGGCGTGAGGAGGACCTCCGGGTGGGGCATGCAGACAATGGTGGCCGCTTGTGTGATATGGACCGCAGAGCAGACCTACACAGCAGCTCTGGCTTCTCTCCTCAGCAGGCAGAGGCCAGAGCACTCTTTCACATCCCCTTCTGAAGGGAGCGCCTTCACTTTGTGAATGTCTCTGACCCCGGGGTCTCATAGCCGTGTAATACCGAACAGGCAGGGCAACCATCTCAGCACCAAAGAAGACTAAGCTTTGGGGCTCCACGGAAGCTGACGTGGTAGCAGTTTTGGAAATATTCAGGGGACAACATGTGTGGCTAGGATCTTATCCCCTTCTCCTGATACCATCACCCTTCTGGCAATGTGCAGTGTAAGGGGACCATGCAGACGGGCTTCATCCCGGAGCTGTGAGAGACGGCCACCAGCTGGGCGTGTTATGGCTCAGTGTAAGGCGGCAGGCTTCCCGGAACTTGGCAGCCCTTGGTTTGCTCCATTCTGGAATGGATAACAGAGTGAAGACATCTGCTATGACTCCCCACACCCCAAGCCAGAGCACATGGTCTTGGGGTCACGCAGGATCTAGGCACAACAGAACTGGCCTCCACACCATACAGCTCCAGTTTGGGGATCTTAAAGGTCCTCTGTGTCTTCAGTAACAAGCCGGGGAGGAAAGCCACCTTTGAAATATCCCAGAAACAAGCTGTATCCGCCACATCAGGAGGAAGCTGGCTATTCCAGTCACACGAAGGGGTGAGGGACTAGGGCCTAGCAGGCAACATGGGGAGGGACCATCGCTGGCCATCGCAAGGCATGAGGAGTAGTTCAGCAGGCCCTGCTCAGCACACGTGAGAGGATCCTGCACTGATCCCCAGCACTGCAGGACAAAGGCGCTGGTGCCCTGCACCTGTTTGCCCACTTTCTAGAGGACATGTATGCCTGGGCTTTGAATCTTTCCCTCATTTATCTCTAGAAACACAGCAGAATTTGTCACACTAATTTCTTTTTCCTAAGAGAGCACGGCCCTGGGACTGTCCGTGAAGGTTCGGGTTGAAGATGGAACACTAATCTTGGGACTTCGGGTGTCATGGAGAGCAGCTGGCTGAAGCACATTTAATAAAAACTCAGAGACAGAAATTGGGGTTCAACCGGAAGGTCAGAAAAGCAAAACAGCCAGTCACTGGCTGTTAGCTCTACCTCAGTCTGAAATGGCGATCCTACCTCCAAGAATCTCAGAATGAGACTGTGAGTGAGAGCTGTCTCCTCCCATTTTTAATCCTCCCTGAGGTTGGGATTAAGGGCGTGCACCACTACTGCCCTGTTTCTATGGCAAACTAGTGTGGCTACTGTGGTTAAAGGTGTGTGTCACCACTGCCTGGCCTGTAAGGCTGACCAGGGCAGCTGTTTTACTTTCCAATCTTCAGACAAGCTTTATTTATTGAAATACAAATGAGGTATCACTGCAGCTGGCTTCTGGGGACATGAGAACAAGTCCCCTGCACCCTGATGTCTGCTCAGAACTATGCAGATGGAGACTTCTGGCTGCCGGGAATGGGCCGGTGGGCTGGTGGTTCTCCATATCTCACTTGCTCGCCCTCCTTGTGGTCCCTCAGATGTTGTTGGCCTTGGCTTCAGGCGTCTGCCCCGAGCTGCTCTTGGCATCTACGCCAAGAATCGCTGACTAAGCTGGGCAAAGATGAACCCCGCTGGTCCCCTTGCTCAGTCACCGGCTGGGACAGAGGTAGGGCAGGCCAATGGTTCGGGCCTTGGGACAGAAACCAGAAGTCAAGGTTACAGAGTGTCCAGGGCCTGCTGACAGCACCTTCGCCCAGTGCATGCTGAGTCCCTGACAGGCTTGATATGTTGAGCTGATGCCCTGTCTGGGGTTTAGAGTCCTCAGGGCCAGTTGCTGGTCATTTAGGCTCCTGTCATCTAGTCTTGGGACACAAGGACATGTACCGCTTTGTACTCAGAACACAGCATAAATATTTCTTACCTCCTTGGTAACGTGGGGGCACACAGTTGTGCAGGGCACTGAGGGCAGAATTGAGGGATATGGTCACACTTGCCGCTGGGTCTGCAGAGACCAATCTTTGTCTTGCCTGACCTGTGGCCGCAATGTCTGACCTTCAGTGCTGAAAAAGGCATGGCGTACTGTCCTAAATCAAAACATTGATCTCTCCACAGATCCTAATCCTGGGGACTTCCTCTTAGTCATGGTCAGGGCCCATCTTGGCCTAGAGACAATGAAGGAGCAAGAAGCTACCCTGTCTGCAGCCTTACCTCCCTCTAACCTCTCCACCTGCATCCCAATTATTGGCCAAGCCAGTATCAGTGGACGCAGGGGTCAGCCTCTGGTGGTGGCCAGCCATATCCTGGCTCCCTTCATGAGGGTACTCGGGCTCCTAAGCGGAATCCCCAGGCCTCCTCACCTTTGACAATTCCCCTGCAGGCCCTGAGAGGGAGCATGCTCTTCTGCTAGAACCCTTGCCTGGGGGAACTCATCTCAGGCAAGTCCCTCCTATATGTCCTGATGGGGAACCCTCCATGGGTTTCCTGGGTGTTCTGGTGGCCTCATCAGCCCATTTCCCCTCTCATCTGGGGTTCATTTCTACTGGCTCCCATTCTGTAGATGAGATCAACCTGAGCAGAGGGGGATGGGGGACAGGGGAAAGATGAACCCTCATCTGGCTGTTCCTCTGTAACTACACAGGTCCAGAGTCCCCATAGTACTGTGTGTTGTGTATCTGGGTTTCCGTGCCAGCCTGGTAAAGCTGGGGCACATCTCAGACCAGCTAAGAACTGAGAAATGGAGTTCTGGTGCTAAAACTATTTCCTAGTAACATGCCCTCTTCAGCTACAGATAACACCAAGGGCAGGTGGATCTACCAGTCCTCTGCCATGTGACGTTGAGGCCAACCTGTGCCACCCCTGGCATCCACACTGGAACTGACTCGGGCTGGACTCCAAGGCAAGAGGAATGCATTGTCCTCTCTGTCTAAGTGCCAAGATCCCTAACAGCTACATGAAACTCTATAGAGCACAGCCTGAGGGCTTGCCATGGTTTCCCTTGAATAAGGGTCTCTTGTCACTTATGCCCAGCCATGTCACACTTATGTCACATAACTCCCTACGGAGGATTAGAACTATGAACACACATCTCTTTGGTGAATGTGACCCTGGCACTAGGCTAATTCTTGCAAGGCTCACACAGCCTGTGTTGACCCTCTGGGTTTCCACCTCCATCCCAGAGCTGGGAGGATGGGAACGGGGCTTTAGATTGGCTGAGGCACAGAGATGGAAGCAGGCAGAGCTCATGGACGGCTCGGGAACCTTAATGTGCAGATGCTGGACCTCGCTATGCATCCCAAGGTGACAGACCCAGCCTCATTACAGCCTCCCTCACTGTCTGTGTGGCAGACAGTCCAGCTCCTTTTCCAGGTGTGTGCCTAGCCACTCTCCTGATCCAGGAGAAGTCTCCTCTCTGGCCACTTTATTCCCCTGTCACTCTAGGTTCCGGGGATCTGGGGCAAGGTTCATCCCAGGCCCAGGGAGCAAACAGCCTCCTCGAGGCCAAGAGAACACTGTTTATTTCTGAAGTACACACATCCTAAAGCAATGACATAAAGCACATCTCAAGGAAGAGTGGGTGACCCTGGCAGGCCCATCCCTGACCTCTGCATTTGGGAGCTGCGAGGTCTCCTTCTGGGTGCTCTTCGCTCAACCTGCCGCGCTCGAGCCCCAAAGTTTAGGCCCCGTAGAGTCTCTGCCATGTGCTTCTGCCCGGGGGATATGCACAGAATCATCAGCAACTTTGCATCACCGCCTTAAAAAGATTTAAAGATGTCAGGTGTAAAGTATGAAAATGACGTTTCTAAGTGCTAGATGGCGATTTGAACGGAGAAAGTCTGCCCACACTCCGAGCAGGGACCAGGGGCATGGAGAAAGTCTGCCCACACTCCGAGCAGGGACCA